AACATTCTAGGATTTCTTCAAGTGTTTAATAATTTGTTAAATTATATGACACTGTAATTACTGTATTATAGTACTTAAAATTGAAAGGTTTTTTTCTACCAAAGTTTTGCAGATAATATCTTGCTAGGAAAAGGGTACATAGACACGAACTTTCCTTTAAATCCTGTAAACTTGTTCCAGTAGTATGTTTAAAATATGGTGTTAATGATTGTGGCAACCTTAAAAAGAAATCCTGTGAAAATGAAAACCATTCATATTAAACACCCAGTGAAATGCAGTCCATAATTGTGTTTCTAATCCACTGTTTCTGAAACCCAAAGAGTACTTGGAGGACTTGAAGTGCCTTCAGTGACAGAAGAAATGGATTTCTCTTTGATAAGCAATGATTTCTGTGCAGAAGTTTTCTAACACTTCCTTCTATCTCCTGTCTGCCCAGGGCAGGGCAAGGGCTGGCCCAGTGACCACCTTCCCTGTTCTGTCCATCTCTTTGTGTGTCCTCTTGGCCTCCTTTGTTCCTGTACAAGTGTGCACAGTTTGGCTCCCAATGTTTACAAAACTTTTGTGTTTGTAAATGGGGTTAAAGTTTGATGCTGGACCATATTCTTACTGCATCCATATTCTTATATTATTATACAACAAAGTTTTGAGAAATCCTGGCTCAAAATGAAGTCCAAGCACATTTAATCAAGAAATGTGTAATGAGAAAGAACAGAAAATTTTTCCTGCATAGCTTACAGTTTCATGGCAAAAGAGTATTTGTGAAGAGGAGAAACAGACATGTAAATGTGTAGGCACACACAGAAATTTTTTAATATTATTTTTTAAATTTCTGTACATTTAAATGTTGTCATTCTAAGAAGGTGCTATGGTCAAGGAATAGGTGAGGGACATGCTCTAAAATAGAAAAAAAGCTGTATTTTTGCTTCATTCATCTTACTGATTTGTAAGGGTGCCCTTTCTCAATTTGCAATTTGATTTAGTCTCGTGTTTGTGTGTCATCTCCTAAATACAGACACCAACTGTATGTCAGATAAGTACTATTTTAGTTTGGCTACCTCATCTTCCATCAATTCATGTACTGCTTTTCATAAAAATGGTAGCAGGATCAATATTTGTAATGGTTAAGTTAGTTTTTCAAAGCCTTTAATCATTCTCCCAGATGACTTTTCCCTTCATTGTTCAACATGACTCACTTCTGGGAAAACCCTTTTCATAAACAATGTTTTCCTCACCCTGGTATAGAAAAAAACGTGTGAAGAATTATAAAGTAAAACTAAAGTATCATGTGAGGAACATTTGTCATATGGAGGTTGATGTTTGTCTCCTTAGGCTGTTTGCTGCTCAGGAGAGCACCAAATGTACGGATGCAAGTCCTGAATGACTTCAGTGAAGTCAGTGGCTTTATTCCAGTGCATGTTGGGGTAACTAAGATTGATTCTGGTCACTTACTGTGTCCTGTGTTATCCCCAGTGTGAGACATGCAGCTCAGTGATCCTGCAAAGAGTCACCAGGAATTTTAGCAGTGCCGTGCAATGAGAGCCGCGTCTGCTGTGTTATTCCTCACGTGTTTAACTGCTGACTCCATCGATGAACATTTCATGTGTGCAGGTCTTTTTTTGAAGGATGCTTCAGTGATATAGTTTATAGTATATCTAGTTTATAGAGCAATTAATGCTGCTGTTAAATAAAACATATTTGCATCACTTTAATAAGGACATTTGGGGTAATTGCTGCTCCTTCTGTTTAAAAATCTTTGAGTGTTCAACTTTGAAAGGTTGTAGACAACATATGTGTGAATGGAAAACATAAGGAAAAATACTAAAACATGCTAAAATCTGATTTTATCTTAGAAATGACCACTCATTCAAAATTAGATAATACATTGGGTTTCATCTCTTAACTTAGTTAAGAGTCTTTAAATTGAACATTAATGTGTGTGAAATCATACTTTCATATGGAAAAATCACAAACAGAAAAAAATGCTACTGGCTAGCTAGATTTTTATTCATTTGTAGAATGAATATTACTCTCAAGATGGACAATATTAGTTTGTTCAAGAAGTTTAAGACGCTTAAAAGACTTGTGGAAAAAGTAGGTGGCCATCTCAAAATTCTGAATTTTGGCCAAGTTTCTGCCCCAGAGGTATTCCTTCAGCTATCTTTCCATGGTGGCATCAGGTATTCCTGAAATGTTTACTTGCTGTGGAGTGTGGGTGTATCTCCTCATTCCGATTTTCTGCAAAGAGAAAGGTGTGAACTTCTTTGTGCACATGGACTTGCAAGGTTGCTTCCAATAATGAAGGGGACCAGGGGGATCCCACCCGCAGAGGTTTCAGCCCATAAGGAGCATCAGTAAAGTCTTGCAAACAGGGGATCCTGTACCAAAAATGCTGCCTTTTCTTCCCCGTGCTTCCCTGTGCAGTTCTGCACCACAGACAACACTACAGAGCAGCTCTGTGTGATTTTCTAAACTAAAAGACATAGTTTTCAGCAAGCTGTCTTGCTGAAATTATCAAAATTGTTGGATGGTCTGTAATTACAATTTTCTATCTTCATCAGGTGAATTGCATATTTTTTTCCTTCCTTTAGAGGATGCAGATGCTTTGCAAATGACTTCTGAAAAGGAGTTGTACAAAGAAATCAAGTTAATATCTTGGAAGTCTTGTGTGGATGTGATGCTGAGATGCTGGTGAAATTATAACAGTGTAGGATGAAGCACAAAAAGGCAAGATGTCCCAGAATACAGTTCAACAATCATTATTTTTTATTTCTTTTTTGAAGTAGTAAAGACAGTGCCATGAAGAAAAGAGAATGAAAGCTATGCTTGTTCATACTGTTCTGATTTTATGCTGGTTGTCCTTGCTAGAAATAGCTACAGAAAACAAATAATATTTCTAATTGATTTCTAAGATTTGTGACACCAGCATTCTCTGAAAAATGTTTTTCTTCACTTTTGGGAATGAATGAAAGGAGAACTTTGCAAATACTGTAGATCTGGGTCAAGATCTCCTGTAATTTTGGGGGGTAATACTTTGTTGCTCTAGTGTGATTTAAAGGATTTGCTTTTGAATTCAGTATTTTTGCTTCAGACACACATTTCTTTCCACATGAAATTTGATAATGTATGTTCTGTGGATCAGTGAATAATCTAAAATTCTCTTATGAAATTTGCTACTCTAAAAATTTTGGTGAACTATTGCTGAACAAAGGGATATCTGTTTTGAAGTCTATTTATGATTGATTCATAGCCTGAACAGTATGAGTGACAGGAATACTGAATTGTAATCCCAAATTCATTATACTTAAATTGAGTCAGATAGTTCATAATGGCTGCTCTCCTGGTGAAACTTGCTTGGGTTTTTTTGACTTGTTCTACTTTAAAGAATGGATGAGAATTATTTGCTAAATCAGATTTGCAACTTATTAAGTGAAGTGAATTACAAGGTTTGTAATTTACAGGAGAGTGAGTGATTTCTTTTCTCCTGAGGCCTGATTAATTTGCTATGCCATTGTCTTTTGATAGTTTCCATTTTTCTTTCTTTTTTTTTTTTAATATATTTTTCAAATTGCAAATTGTTCTAAAACAGCAAAAGTGGAGCAAATTGATCTCTGCACTTGAGTTTTACATCCACCCTTCATTTTAAAGACTGAACTTATGTTTCTGTGTATGGAACAGGTAAAGGATTCAATTTCATAAAATGTAGTATTGAAAGATACAAAATCACCTTAAAAAGTTGTTAAATTCAGCATTAATTTGAGACTCTTATTTGCTCTCTTTGGTTCAATAAAGTGATAATTCAATTTCCAGACAGTGATTTCTTGTAGGAAAATATTTAAGATTTTTTTAAAATTATTATTGTTAGATTTCTTTTTCTACTCACTGGAATTGTTTCTGTGTGTTACTATGATTTATCAGTAGAGAGCTTTGTGAGGTCTCATGCAGTCAAATGTTGTGCAAAAAGCCTGGTGAGCCTGGCAGCTGGGAGCATTGATGCCACGCAGTGTCTCTCTATCAGTGGCATCTGGATGTGGGCTTGGCCTCCTTCTGAGCCTGTTGGCTCATGGCACTGCTGCCTATTCAGATGTATCTGTGCTAAAGCATAGCACATTTACATATGTTTTGCATAAAGCTTTCAAGCTATTGCTTCTGTGTTTCAGGTTGCTACACTGGAGATTAATCAAAAAACAAAAGTATTATACCTAGCAAACTATTGTTTTTTCATTAATGGATTTTCATCTCTCTGCATTGTTTTGGTAAATGGGTTGCTTGGGACTTTCATATTTCTGGTGCAGGTATAAATGAAAATGGGGAATTGAAGGATACACATTGGTAAAAAAAATAGTTAATATTTTCCTTAACAGCAGACTGGATATTATTTCCATCTTTTCATTATTTAAAGGACAAGTATTAGATATATTTAAACTATTATTCAATTGTTGGGGCTTGTAAAAATAGTACTCATGTTCTTTTCTGTCTAAGTTCCTCTGCTGTCCTTATTTCAACTGTAAAAGAATGACAGGGCAGTTCATGGGAAGTTGTTTCATACAGGGAGGTTCTCAGATGACCTAAATGCCACCCTTTTATGAAGCCCTTACCCACACTTGTCTGCAGGTGAAAGAAGAGTTTGTGTAACAGTTCATGCCTAAAAGCAGGTTGGTAAACAATTAGACCAAGGAATGAAAGCTTTCTTTTCTGCTGCTGTTAGAAAACATGGAATGGAAAGAAAAAGTCCAGTTGGTTGTTACAGATGCAGAACTGTGAGTCTGGAAGGAGAAGTAACAGCCCAGGTCCATGTGTTCAGGGTTTTCCATTAAAGGTTCAAATGATTGCAATATTTTGTGCTCTAGGAAAGGATATATATTATTATTTCTCTTCAGGAAATAATATAAGCAGTAATTTATTTGCCTTTTACTCCTTTCCATGTCTCCTAATGTGCTACATGATACAGGTAAATCTTGCCAAGTAGGATATATTTAATGACATTTATTTCATTACTTCTGGTTATAACAAAAAGTTGTTCTGAGGAAAATGCTGAGCTTTATTTTTCTAACAGACCAAGCACGTAACATAGCTGAGCTGTCACATGGACAGAGTGATGCATTAGATATATCTGACCAACAATTATTTTCTTTCACATGCATGGGTGAAACTCTGAAATCATGACTTGTGATTTTTTTTTATTTTTTTTTTTTGGCCCAGTAAAGACTTGGTAGAGGAAGACAGTGTTGTTATATAATGTTTAGAGTTTGAGAATGACATTGGATTGCTGGCAAAATCTGCTGTTACTGGCTTCTCCAAGTCTGTGTTCATGTCTTTTCACTTTCTAATACATGTCTTTTTGCACAAGAATATATATTTTACCTAATCAGCATATCTGTAACCATGCACAAAGATGAAAAATGTGGTTTATGCTATCCAAAGAGTATCCTGATATAGCTCTAGTTGTATCTAGGAATTGATTAAATACTACTGTGCTGAGCATAGAGCAATCACATGAACGGATAACTTACATGCCCCATTGTAACAGGAATTTTCAAAGTCTAAATTAATGAGAATGAAATTGTCCTTTGGAAAATATTCATGCATCTTTGATGGTAAAATAAAAGAAATACTGGTTTCCTGCAGCAGTCATGTGTATGTCATAACCACTGACATAAGAAACAAAACTGAGTTGACTCTTAGAATTACAGGCTTTGAAAATGTAGCTCCAAAAATGTATATAATTATACAATATTTATGTTTTTATCTCTGTAGGCTTATATATGGGTATATTTAAGTTCCTTGAAAGAATATTTGGGAGTGTTGCCATGAGCTGGACACAGAACAAAGTATTTGTGACTATTCTAAATTTGTCCGCAGTTGTGAACTCCGTGAGGTCATTTTGTCAAAACATCATTTTGAACTCTGAAATAAAGAGAAGAGAAACAAACATACTGGATTAAAACACACTTCCAGTGTTGTCAGATAATTACTAAAAAGAAAGTGCCTACACTGGAAATATCAATAACTGTAATGTGTGAGATTTGTTAAAACACACAAACTCGCTCTCCACTGACTGTCACTAATATTTATTCGTCCAGTGACTGTTAATCACACCAAGTTTACAGTCCCGTGTAGCACCTGTCACAGGTGTTGATCATTAATCAGCTATTACAGCAGTTTATTCTGCTGCTGACAACTTGCAATTTTCTACTGATTCAGCTAGTTTGTCAGGTGGGAATTATGGCATAGCACATGTGACAAAACACATCACACATTTCTCTCTCTCTCTCTCCTCTCTCTCTCCCCCCTTCTTTTTTTTTCCCTTTTTTTTTTTTAATTTTCAGGCTTCTCTCTCTTCCTCTCTCTCCCCCTTTTTAGACAAACAATATCTGGGAACTCAGAAGTAATAAGGCGGAATGTATAATTAATTACCCAGCTTGCTCTAATTAGGGATGAATAAGTTGTGTCCCTCTCATCATCACAAATGTGGTGATGGGTAATACCAGTTTATGCTGTATTAACTGCAAATATGCAATCCTTCTGAGAGCACTTTTGTTGATGAATTTGATGAATGTGACAATAATTAGCAGAGACAGATGAGAGCTAAATTACTACTGACAATGTAATGCTATCCCGCTCGAGGGTCTGAGAACGTGGCAGGCTAACATGGCAGGGACCGGGGCCTCGTTTCTAATTAATAGTCGTCTTTTTTTTTTTTTCCCTCTTTTTTTTTTCTTCTTTTTTTTTTGCCAGTGGGAAAAAAAAAAAGGAGGAACGGTAATTGTTTTCGTCAAAGGCTGCAGGGAGTTATCAGGGTAATAAAGTTAATTAGCAGAACAAACATCCTTTCACTGCCTTACCAGATTGAGGAAAAGAGGGTAATTCAAACTGCAGAAAGATATGACTAGATGAGATGATAAGGAGAAAAATTTTACACAGGAGGTTAACAGAGAAGAATCAATTTTTTTCTTCATTTCTTTTGGCTTAGTCCAAGGAAAGGAATTATACATTCTCTTCTTTCAGCTCATGAAGTTGCTTATGTAGAAAACTTTATTGTTATGATTTCTGCAATGGATGGGAAATGAAGTTAAGAAATATCATATTACATTGTTCCATTTCTTCAGGGCCTTCCAAATAGCAATTGTTTTGTTACATTATGTGCAATTTCCTTTTTATTAAAGTGACTTTTCCTAATATCCACGGCACTATATTGATCCCGTAATGTTCTTCAAAAAGAAACCTGTTTTTACTTCGTCTCCAGGACTTCAATGGACCCATTGAGTGTGGCCATTGTACGAGGTTCTGAAGTAGCTAGCTTAGAGTTTGAATTAGTTGATGGATTTCTTTGAGCAGCATTTCTTTTACTATCCTCTAGTGTAAGTATGAAAAGAAGGTCCTTGTTCCTGCCAGCGTTAATGCATGTGACCAGCTTTATGCATGAGTAGTCCTATTACATTTGCTTCCATTCACTTACTTGTACACATGGGCAGGGCCAAGGTCCAAAAGGAGGGAGCCTTTCAAAAGTAGTAACATTGAGGGTTTAGGTTACTTAGGATGGCAGTTCTTATTCTCATGTATTTTCAGTGGTGCTACCATCTCTCTTGTAAGATTTTTGGCCTACCTCCATGATAAGGCTGACACTTTACTGCACTCTGTTTTCACATCCTCTCTGTACACAGGGTCTTGCAGAAGTCCAGAAGGTTTTATAAACCCAGAGGGATCTGTCAAAGTGAAAATGTTTTCACATGATGGGGTATTGGAAAAAATACTTGAGATACCAAATCAGGGTATGCCAGCTGTTTTGAGATGTCTGACCACATTATAGGTGTTACAATCCAGGATGAATATGATGAGGTCAGTCAAGGTAGTCTCCTGTCCAAGGAGACAAAAACAATCTGCCTTGCATTTACTGCAAAAGAAAAATTAAAAGGTTTGTAGTGACTGAAGCCCAGTAATATCCTGTAAGCCCAGTTTACCCACTGATAGCATTCTGCTCTCTGTGCTCGTGGTTAAAACTACAGCCTTGTCCTCTGGAGCCATTGAGAAATCTCCTCTGACAGAGAGGGCTGGTCTTCTCCTGGCTGTGGTCCATGGAGTGACTCTGGGCTGCAGAGAGTGCACAGCTCTTTTTTCCAAGGAAGAGATTCTGCTGTCTTAGACCACACAAGACTGAAACAGGACCCATAACTGAGGGATGGTCCAGCTCTGCTATTTTGTACATGTGATGGCCACAGTATATCCAATGCAATGAGAGCTCTGTATTTCCACTCCCGAGCAGCCTGTTCCTTCAACAAAGCTGAATCACCCAGAGATTAGGGGAACTCCTGGTGAAATTTAGGTCTTTGAGTGTTCCTGTGTGACTGCACCTAAATTCCTTAGGTTGAACTTTGAAGAAAGTGTTCCATGAATTTTTCTTATAACTGAAGACTCAACTTCTACAATCAATTACTGTCTCTCGTATGCCACTTCCTGTCTCTCAAGCTGACCTGAGCCAACCTTTCCTCAGTCATTACAGTCCTTGCCCTTCCTTCTACCTCTCTGTGCTCATTTCTCTCCTATTTTAACTTCTATTTGTTTTATTCTGGCAGCTCCCAGGCAGTAACCTGTGCTATGTCAATAGTGTTGGCAAATGCAGTTACTGTCATTAGAAGAGCAAATCAGTTCCATTTTTATTTGTATTGGGAACACTTCCTATATTAGTTAAAAGAACTTCTAAAGAGGGGATAAAATATAGAAGATATATTTGATAATGTTTTTTCATGGCTTGTTAAGCATGTGTTGGGCACTGCAAAGGGCTGCATATTTAAGTAGGTGTAAGACTGGAATACTGGGACTCTGTCAGAGTGGATGAGGCAGCAATTATGGAGCTGCTCAGGATCAGATGCTTTTTCACAGTCCTGTTCTTCATTTACAGCACGGGCAGACAAAACTCCCCATCAGGAGGTAAATGCAACAAGCTGTGAGCAAAGCATAACCAAGTTATTAACAAAGAACTGTGCATTAATCTCCTTTAATAATTCTTCACTGTAAACATAATTAATTTATTAATACAAAGCTCTAGATTTGTGTATTCCATATGTTTGCTTTCTGTCTTCAAGCCCCAAATGGTCAGGGGTGAAAAATCTAGAACCCCAGTGGCCAGAGTATATTAAGGTTCCACAGCTTAAGGCTGACTGACATTATCTAAGCAATTTAAAATGTTCTATCTGCAGAAGACTTTCTGCTTCTGTCAGAGAGTTCTGTTACTGCAGGGTAAATGCTAAATGCATTATTGAGAATAAATACTCAAATATTTATCAACCAAAGTATGGTAGTGAGCAGTGTGTTCATTTTTAGCTTCTTCCTCAGTGGAGCTTCCTAGACATATCAGCACTTAACCTGAAGTCTTACCTGGCTGTGCAAATCCACTTTTGAGATCATTCAGCTGTTGTGCCTGTCTTTGAAACCCTCCACAACTTTGCCCTGTACTGTCCTGAAGCCTTCTGTCCATGTGCTGAGCCCAGTATGACTGTGCCCTGCCCTTTTTCCCTGCTGTTGCCCAATCAAATCCAGCTTTCCCTCTACAGCCCAGTTATCAGATTCTCACACAGAGTGCAGTTTCTTCTCCCCAGTCTCTACATGCAATTCTATTTTCTCAATGCCATGTGAAGAGTCCCTTCCTCCTCTGCACTGGTGCTTCTTCCTTCAAAGATTAGAGAAAACAGAAAGAATACGAGTTTAATGTAACATGATTATCCAAATAGTCAGCCACCACCTCAACCACTCAGTGTATACCACCTCTTTCTTTTCAATATTCCCACATTTTTCCATTGTAATGACCTGGAGAAAGGGACCATGTGCTTTTCTTATTGAAAAGTGCCCAGAGAGCGCCGCTGTGTGAGCCAGCAGGTCAGCAATAACTGAGAGAATATTTTAGCTCAGTAGAATTTTTCATTTGAGAGTGGGAAAATGCCCTGCTATTTCATTCTTGTTTTTCTTCTCTGGTTCCCGCACTTGACACTAACTGATTTTCTGCATGAAAAGGGATAAAAGAAACCATCCTGTCTAAATCAGCTTGGTATTATGGAGTTCAGTGGTTACTATATCTGTACCTTTTTCACCTGGCTCATGAAGGGAGCAACTTATCATGTTTATTGATCAGGGTGCTTTGTAGCCGTGGATGAACTGAGCTTTCACTTTTAAAATCAGGTGTATATTCAAAATGTGAGGAAGTTGAAAGTGCCTCAAAATGTAATAATCCATTATTTCTCAACAGAGTTTTTAATTAGAAAAGAGACCTTAGAAATTAGCTGGATGTACTTTAATTATGAACCTCACCTTTAGTAGTAGTTTTGGAGGAGTATATTTTGGAGGAGTATGTTTTGGAGGTGTACTTGCCACCACTAAAGTCCTGTTTTGTGGATTTTTGACTTTTGTGGATTTCTTTCTCCAGTGAATAGGGTTTGTCCACAGCGTGTAAAGGACTGCTGTCAATCTTAATTCAGATGAACATAATAACATTGTTGTCAAACAAACCTGAAGGACTCAAATATCTTTTTAGTGATAAAATTATTTAAATGTTCATTTGTGTAATGGAGGTTTTCCGTGCTGTCTAATGAAATTGTAGCACTGCCTAAAATAATTTAAAATTGCATGCAAACAAATATTTGTACACAAGGTGGTGATGTTAGCAACCAGCTTCCTTTTATTGACAGCCCTCAATAAATAACAACATATTGTTTAGGTTCTGAGGTATCTTCAGCTAACTTTGGCTACTTGTACAAGGACAGATCTGATATATCAGCAAAGAAACTGTGAATTGGTCTCAAGGTATCAATGAAAAAAATAATTGTGGAGCTTAAAATGTCTTCATATCTTACAGAGTTTCTCATTTTCTTATGACATAATTGCACCATGAGAATCATATAAAACTTCAAATATAATGATGGTAAAAGCAACATGTATCAAAAAAGGTAGCTAATGCAACCTTTTATTAAAGACACCTTTCATATTTTAAATATTTCTCTTTCTACAACTAACTGGTTTAAAAATAGCAGCAGTTAAGACTGACTGTGAAGAAAGGAAGGTCTTTTTTTAAACAGACATAGAACAAGGGTAGAGCTAAAACCACGGAAAGGGGTAATAAATAATGACAACAGATGTTTGTAAACCTTTTGCTCCTGTGTTCACTGTTTCCATGTGTTTTCTTGTCTTGATGTGCTGTCAGGCTCCTCTCACCTGGGACTAGTGATATCTTATCAAAGCCTAAGCAGTTCCTCTTCACAACAGGCAGATAATAGTGCCTTTCAATTTATCATACGAGAAGTCTAAAAGAACCATGGGAACGATTGGTCAGGTGACAGTTTGATGGACAGTTTGACAGCCCTTAAAGCATCATGGGAAATGGTTGTCACCTGATTTTTTCAGAGCAACTGGGGAGATAACCTTCAGCATGACAGGAAAAACAAAAATCTGAATATTTGTGTAGGGTTTGCTAACAGCCGTAATGCTCACTTAAGTGATAATGGGGATGAATTTAGATTACTTGAAATGGAGTTATCTGAGCCGGGATCTGTTTAGCCTGTAAATGTTTTTGACATCTTTAGCTGCTTTTCAACACTTTTGCTGAATGTAATTCTTCCAATGGAGATAGTGTAAGGAGTACAGATGGATTATTTGGTTTGTGTTTGGTTGGACTCTCCGCACAACACAAGTATTGTCTCCTAAATGGAATTGGAAGAACTGATCTCCTAAAAACTTTTCCTTCTTGCTTTGTACCTTACTGTCTTGACTGCTCAAAATTATTCCTTGCCCACTATGGAAAACACTCTATTGGTGTGAACCAGACAGATGTTTGCACCTGGAATCACCCACATGACGGCCACTTCTGTGGACTCTTGCTGGGATTCACAAACAGATCAAATATTGACCTTATAAACACCATATCCTACCCTTAGGTCAAGACTGAGGTTTCTGAAAATGGTGGCATTGCTGCCATCCCCATTTTGCTGCTGTGGGTGATGCAGTTTTCTTCATAGTGTAGTTCTGGTAATTCTCAGAAACACTGAAAATAAAATTTAAAAAATCTTTAAAAATAAGATCACAAAAAGAATGATAGATTTTTTAGGGTGGCAAAAATGGTTAAGCACTTGTTCTTTAGCTTCATAACCTGGATATATATTGCATGTGTGATACACTGGATCAATGTGGAGATCTCACCTCCAAGAGGAACAGAGGAGGTTGGTGTGATGGGTGAAAGAAGCCCTGCAATTAAACTGAGGAGTGCAATCAGGAGGACATGCACTGGAAACCATTCCTATACTTGTTTTGAAATTTCACAGCAAATTTGAGCAAGTCATGAAGGTTTCTCAGCTTTTTCTGTTTCCAATTCTTTCTTTATCTGTTTCTGACCCCAGGCCAGCATATTCTCTCACTCCTTCTGTATCAGTGATGTCCACAACACCTTCAACCAATCTTGTGTTTGCAATCTTGTGTTTCTCTGCTGCCAGTATCTTTTGTTTTTGAGGTTCTGAGTTCTTCTTGCAGCCTTTTTTTTTCTCTGCTTATTATCTCCATTTTCTCTGTTGCATGTTAAATGACAAACACAATTCCTGGCTGTAGAAACTTGTTCTATGGAATTTTTAGCTACCATCATATCCTGCCTTCTTTCCACTTCGGAGTCCCTCTTTTGAAACATGCTTCAGTGCTTTCTATAATGAAGTTTGTAAACCATATATTTCTTTCACAAGAAGTTCTAGTGGCAATACTGTTATTCTCTCTCCCCTGCTGAGGGACAGACTGTATAGACACATATTTATGTTCACTGGCTGGCAAAGAATAACACATAAATTAAGTAAGTAAAAGGGTCCTTTTTTCAGCGTTAAATCTATATTCGTTCCTTGTCTTTCCAGAGACAGATTTTAATGTATTAAAAGTTTCAACAAGCAGCATACACTGTCAGAATTCTGCTGCCAGAAATTTCAACATTTCATTGAGAGCATATTTCGTATTTAGGATGTTATGTAGAATATATTCTTATTTATATTGCAATTAAAACAATGTTGCCCAGATAATTTTATTATCTGTTATAACTATCAGTTTTATAACTGTCAGCAACATTTATATATTCCATGATCTGAAGCCTGTTTATTTTTGGGATTGTAATTTTAAAATAATAGTTTCCTATGTGAGTGTGTGCAAGCATGGACAGTATGTCTCCACAGTCACTGTACACTGACCAAATATCAGCAGAGCAAGGTACAAGTTAATTACGGGCTGGTTGTGCCTGTGGATGTCCACAGCTCTCAAGGACACAGTGGCTTTGGGCAGGCCATGGCAGATGGTGTGTTTGGATGTGGGTTTTTCCAGATGAAGGTAGAGAAATCTCTCTTTAGGCTTTCACAGCTTGCCATGTAAATACTATTGTTCCGGTCAGCTCTGATTTATATCCAAGGCTATGGTAAGATAAAAAAGGGCCCTTACCCTTCTGTCACAAACTCCTCTTTGTTGAAGTTTCTTTTGTCAAGTAGCTCATACTCTGACTCATCTTTTCCAATACTGTGCTTAGTTTCAGAACTCAGTATTGTTTTACTCAAAATATACTTTAATTGCAAACTTTGTATTTCCCGAGTAAAATTTGCAAGTTTACTATCTGTTTTAGATTTAGTATTTTAATAGATTTGATATCATTTTTGCACAGCGATACTGAAAGAATCATCTAAGTTGAGCTTTTCTACATTGTTTTTTTTTAAATAATGGTAAAATTTCCTACTGTAAAAGAGTTTAACAAAATATTTCTGAGTGTAACCACTGCTTCTACAGAATGCAAGTTGCAACTGAAGGTTTTTCTCCCTGTATTTTTGCAAACAAACAATGTGGTTGTCAGAGAACCTAATCAGTATTTGAGCTGACAAACAACCAAACAAAAAAGGTATTTAGCAGGGCCTCTGATTTCCCTAATGACAGAATATACCCATCAAGGAAACTCAGTAGCAGCTGCTCCATTGTGTTAAAGATTTGAAGATGTCTTCGTTTTGAAAAAGTTTGGAGGGTTTTCTTTACTTTCACCAGAGAATATGTAAAGAGGCAGTTTTATTTCTTTTTGGTGTGGGAAGAGAGAAATCAGCTGATTAACCAACTTAATACTGCTTTCTGTGGCAGTGGGTTCTTCAGTTTCAAGACTAAATCTTGTGTGTCAGTTGTGATCAGATAATTGCTGATAACAAATGCAGCTCGCTCACTGGGCTCCACATAACATCCATCTGGAAAAACACCAACATGCACCACATGGAAAAGAGGAGGATCCTCATCTGCTTGTGGGTGACTGTTTATTTCTTATACTGTTAACTCACATCCTCTTTGAATATGAATCATTTTATTCTATCTGCTTTTATAATTTAAGTTCATAGCATCTATTGTCATAGTGTGATGAGGCTTCCAGCGAGTTCTAAGGAAATACGTACAATAATTGCATGGTTGGGTGAACATTTAGATCTGATTTTCCCTTGAGTTGGAAAATTGACCTTGTGCTAAACAAGATAGATATTGATAAGAGCACTGATACTGAGTCCTGCTGAAATCAATGTTTTCTCATAACTGATTACAGAATACTTTGAGTAACATATAAAGGAATTTAGTAATAAAAGAGTGAAGACTTGAATCGTCTGGGTAAAGAGAAAGAGAGAAATAGTGAATTGTAAATTCAGAGTGAAATCAGAGTTAAATAAGAGAGAGAATCCAGGATAAGACAAATGTAGCCAATAAAACTGTAGCAGGAGAAGCAGGAGCAATAAGGAGAATGAAATAAGAGATGAGAATGGTGTCAGTGAAGAGCAGCTGTGTTGGATGAAATAAGAATAAAAATCCCAGGCAAAATCTGGTTGTTTGAGTGGGGCAGAAGCCTTCATCCTAGAATTTTATACGGTATCCTAATTGTCTTGTTTTTACTGCTTCCCTGTGTTATGGAGACATGGACAGAGCCTTGAGAGATCTTTTTATGCCTATTTCAAATTAGCAGAAGTATCTCATATCCAAGAGAATCAGTCTTCAGAGAAATCTGGGGGGATGATGCCTGCAACGACAGCAGCACTTTAACCAAAAAATTAAAAACGACAGAGTTTCTGTGCATCACAAGGTACAATTTTCAGACTGTGAAATTTGTAATTCATTGGCAGAATTAGATATCCTTATAATCTACTGGTGATGGTGGCTTGCTATATTCTGAATTTCTCTGGAATGAAAGGGTGGATTCTTAGTTACAATCTGTGCAGCCAGGATGTCTGCAGCGTTGGTGACACTTATGAATATTTGGAGGAGAAACGGGAGTGCTGTTCACCAAACGAGGCACTTGACCACCTAGTCCTAAGTGCTGATGATTCCTTATGACACTTTTACCTGTCAAGAAGAGTGTAAGTAGGATTCATGTATCTTGGATGTGTATCATTTAGAATATTTCACACTTTGTGAGTGTTCTGAGGTTTAGAGAGAAGAAAAGAAGCAGCATTTGTTTGCTGGCATAGGATGCATCTTCACAAGAGGAGCTTTGTGAGTGTACGTGTCTACCTGTTCTTTTTTGAAGTACTTCACTGCTGCTTTTCAGTGTTTGGTGTTTTGCTGGTGACCTGGAGGCACTTACCTCCTCGATGAAGCATTGTCTACCACAGACAGCTCAAAGGACTCAAATTCATAGTTTCAGTAAGAGTTCAGCTATGAAACAATAAGGCTCAGGCACAGGCATGTCAAAGCAGGTGACTTCCTCACCATTTTCACTGAATTTCTATTGTTGTTCTCAAAGCCCCTGCTTCTCTCTCTTCATCTGGCATATATTCCAATAAAGCAATCCATACATGTATATACATCTTACATAAATAGATATACAAGTCCCCTAGAAAGTTATAAAAATATTTAGTATCTATAATAGGAATCCTCAGGAATGGACTGAGTTCACGAGTCAGCTTGTGTGATAGAAAATTCAGAGTGATCATAATGAGGTCATTGTTTTCCTAAAACAGTGGCTACGTTGTCAAGTCTTGTTTGTTTATATCTAGCCATAAAGTTAGGGTCAATGTTTAAATGAATCTACAGGTCTACCCATATCTGCTTTTTCAAATCCGAGCAAAATGGTTGAAGTAACACATTTGGGAAGTTTTACAGCTTTTGCTTTATCGGTATCCCCATCACTAAGAAAGTGTGAGTTCATTTATGAACTCATTATTATATCCTTAAGTGGACACAAAATCTATTTCAACTTATTTCTAGAATGCTGAATCTAAATTAATTTGTCTTAATTGACACACTTTTTTCATTTGATATTTGAAGATAGGATTAATTCACAGCCATCTGTTATCTTATCTTGCCTTGGTTAATGATA